ATGTCACTATGTTATTCTACTTTTCTCTTAGGCAATCTCTGTGTTTCAATTATCACAGATTTGTGTAGATGACATTCAAATTTACTCACCAACCCAGATTCGAACTTCTAAGATAGCGCTTAATGTCTCTTTGGCATTTTAAACTTAAGGTGATCAAGATCAAATATATATTCTTCACCTCCAAACTTTTTCCTTCATTCCTTTCTTTCTCTGGTTAATGGTATCATTATAGTCCTAGTCATTTCTGATTCTAAAAACTTTTTTTATTCCTACGTTTTCAAGTCATACCTTCACTTTCCACTAGTGCACTCTTAAATTTCTTGTGGTTTCTCATATTCTATCTCTTTTATCCCAAAACACACCTGTACACATCAGCCTATTCATTGTTGCCACAATGCATCTGCTCCAACCATGTTGTTCTACTTTTCAGCCCAAAATATGCTTTCTATTTTTCATTCTGTAACTCTTTCATATTTTCTTATTAAGTGAAGTGTTAAAACATGCAATTTATATTCTTGGAAATATTTATTATACTCTTTTTGGTCACCAGTAATCAGTTTTTCTATATTTAATCTGTATTAAATAATTTTTAAATAAAAGAATAGCTCAGCTGGTATGACTCATTGGCTGAGCATCAACCCATGCACCAAAAGGTCACCAGTTTGATTCCTGGTCAGGGCACATGCCCAGGTTGTGACCAAATCCCCAGTGTGGGGCATACAAGAGGTGGCCAATCAATGTTTGCTCTCATCAATGTTTCTATCTCTCTCTTCCTCTCCCTTCCACTCTCTCTAAAAATCAATAAAGAAAAGAAAGTTTAATTAAGAAATAAAGAATGGCAAGTACTTCAACTTAATCAGAATATGTTGATGCAAAGGCTCTACCAGTATTAGCATGAACAGATTAACCAAAGCTCTCAGGTGAGCAACCTTAGGAATTCTGTATGTTAGTTTGAACAAGAAGCAGATGACAAATTGGGATTAAACATGAAAGCACTTTATTAAGGAACATACTCTGTGACAAAAGAATAGGATGACAAGGATGGCTAGAGAGCCCTCATACTATAATACCTGACCTATAGGAGGGAGAGGGCCAAGATCCTAGACTTTCCTGGTGCAATGACATTAAAGGGAAATTCTTTGTGATTATCAATGAATAAGATTCTCCCCACCTTTTTATATTTTCTGATTCTGGCATAAAATATATATGATCTAAAATAAATGTTTATGTATACTAAATTTGTCGGCAGTTTGTTCATTTTTATCTCACACTCCAGTGTTGCCAACAATGAAAATCCATGCATTTTTAACAATTCGTAAAGACCCTGAGAGTCCATCAGTTTTCCTCAGATAAGCTGCCAAGTTCCCCTTTCTTATTAGGAATATTACATCGGAAAATTATAAAATTTTTCATTTTGATGGGGGCTGCTCAGTTCACTCAGAAGTAGCAATTCATCATATTTGCTGATCCTAATAAAATAATAGACATGTTTATTCTTTAGTCTGGTTGTTATTTGAAGGTGAAAATTCAGAAGTAGAAATTGAATAATATATGACTGGTTAGAAACTGTAATTTTCTACTGTGTAGCTCTTCAATCAACCAACTGTGTTGAGCCCATTATTTGTATAACCTGGTACTAAAGAAGATAAACATAAAAGAAACATGTTGAAAATAAGAAAATAAATGCCTTTGAAGTAACTAGTACTTTTGCTTGTAATCAAGGCAGTTTTTGTAGGTACAGCTGTGCATTAGAAATCCTTGTAGGCTGAATGCAAACCTGCCATTTTCTAGACAGAGGTGTATAGGTGAGTGTACACAGATTTTATGTAACATTCCTATAACATACATAAGCAGAGCTAAATTAGCATCATTTTTTTTTCAGTTACAATGTACATTCAATATTATTTCACATTAGTTTCAGGTGTATAGCAATGATATGCTTCACAAAGTGGTCCCCCCCTATATTTCCAGTACCCACCTTAGTTAATATCATATTATTGACTATGTTCTCTATGCTGTACTTTGTATCCTCATGACTAATTTTTAACTACCAATTTGGACTTTTGAATCCCTTCACCATTTTTACCCAGTCTCCCAAGCCTCTCCCTTCTGGCAACCATCAGTCTGTTCTCTGGGTCTATGAGTCTGTTTCAAATCTGTTTGTTTGTTTATTTTGTTCTTCAGGTTCCACATATAATTAAAATCACATGGTATTTGTCTCTCCCTGTCTGATTTATTTCACTTAGCATAATACCCTCTAAGTCCATCTGTGCTATTGCAAATGATAATATTTCATTCTTTAAAAAAAATGGCTGAGTAATATTCCATTGTATATATATATATATGTACCACCACTTTTTTATCCACTCATCTATTGATGGGCACTTAGGTGGCTTCCATAACTTGGCTATTGTAAATAACACTGCAATGAACATAGATGTGCATATATTCTTTTGAAGTAGTGGTTTGAGTTTTTTCAGATATATATCCAGAAATGAAATTGCTGGTTATAAGGTAGTTTTGGTTTTCATTTTTTGAGGAAACTTCATACTGCTTTCCATAGTGGCTACACTAATCTGCATTCCCACAGTAGTGCATGAGGGTTCCCTTTTCTCCACATCCTCACCAATATTTGTTGTTTGTGAACTTATTGATGATAGCTATTCTGATGATTGTAAGGTGATATCTCATTATGGTTTTAATTTGCATTTCTCTGATGATTAGTGATACTGAGCATCTTTCATATGACTATTGGCCATCTGTGTGTCCTTTTTGGAGAAGTGTCTATTCAGATCTTCTGCCCATCTTTTAACTGAAGTGTGTGTGTGTGTGTGTGTGTGTGTGTGTGTGTGTGTGTTAGAGAGAGAGTTCTATGAGTTTTTTTTTAATATAAATTTTCGATATTAACCCATTACCAGATATAACACTGACAAATATCTTCTTCCATTCAGTAGGTTGTCTTTTTGTTTTATTGATGGTTTCCTGTGCTGTGCAAAACTTTTTTCATTAATTTTAGAGAGAGAGTAAGGGGGGGAGAAAAGAGAGCATGATAAACATTGATTTGTTTTTCCACCCATCCATGCATTCACTGATTGATTCTTGTATGTGCACTTACCAAAGATTGAACCCACAACCTTTGCATACTGGGACAACACTCTAACCAACCCAGCTACCTGGCCAGGGCAAAGATGTAAAAGATTTTTAGTTTGATGTAGTCTCATCTGTTTATTTTCTCTTTTTAAACTATAATGAATTAATAGACTTGGTTTTTGGTCCCATAGCTAAGTCTCAAACATCATTTCTGTTAGTTTGCCCTATACAAATATTTTTAGTCTCAACTCCTAGATCTCTCCTCAACATGAGAAAATCTATTAGATTGATTTTACTAAAATATATGTTTACTGAAAAAAGAATTTAATCAAATTGGTTCTTTAGCAAAAACTCTTGCAGTAAATTTGGCCCTATCCAAAACATCCATGGAGACATTTTATCCATACCCAAAAGACATTATGTGTTGACATTAACAAACCATGCATTATGAGATCCCCTTCTGAATTTGTTGTCCTCTGAGCATTTCTCTAATTGCAGGACACACCTGAGTACTTATAGTTAATATAAATTCTGTTCTTCTTCAGCATTCGAACCTTAACTCATGTACCTAACCCCACAAGCCATTACCAGCTGGGAAACATAGGCAAGAAGGGTTATTTTAGGCACTACAACTGCAACACAATTATTGGACCAGTTAAAAAAAAAAAGTAATGACATTTTTATGTATTAATTCTGTAAACCAAAACCAAAAATAAACATTATGGGCTATTTGAACCCAGGAACACTTTATAAATGCAGACATTTTTCACAGCAAATTTAGTGTGGACCAAATATCTCAGTGGATGCTCTGGACAGGACCAAATGTTTGCTAATCAGCAAAAATAACCAATTACTCAATTTTGTAATATTTAACCAGGTGTATGTATGTGTACGTGTTTATTAGTTAATGGAGAAACAGGTAAGACTGAGACTTGTTTTTCTCTTTTAATATAGCACTCATAGTCAGTGACTGAGATCCATTCTTTGATTATATTGAAATGATTCATATATTTTCACACTGATGAAGGAGATAGGCCCTTTGACTTTGACTGAATATCTGGTTATTACCGTGAAGTTTCCCTTCTGCTATTGCTATCACTCTCTGTCAGTCCAGTGCTAGACCACAGAAAATTTCATATTTTTAAACATTGCCCATCAATGTGTTTGGTTGGATGGACAGCTTCCCAGTTGCCCGAAACTGTCCCATATTATTAGCGCATTTTTATTATTTTAACGCATGCTCAGTACTTTGGACCTTGAGATGGCCCCTTTTTGGTTTATGCATCAGGAGTTATATGAGTAGCATGCAGTCATTCAAGTTGTTTTTATTAATTCTCTTGTAAGCAATCATCACTTTGGCCCGTGCCAAGATCTTATTCTATATTGCTATCTTCCCTTTTTTGGCTAAGACATCAGGTGATATCCCAGCAAAATTCATCTGATTTTCTGCTGAGTATTTATTTCCTTGATAAATAAAGCTACTTCAATTTCCCTATATAAAAATAAGAATTAGCCCTGGCCGGTTTGGCTCAGCGGTTGGAGCGTCTGCCTGTGGTACAGAGAGACCCGGGTTCGGTTACTGTTAAGGGCATGTACCTCAGTTGCAGTTTGTCCCCGGCCCTGGTTGGTTGTGCGGGTGGCAGCCCCTCGATGCGTCCCTTCACATCGATGTTTCTCTCTCTCTTCCTCTCTCTCCCTCCCGCTCTATCTGAACAAAAAATGGAAAAATGTCCTCGGGTGAGGATAAAAAAAATAAGAATTAAAAGTATATACCCATTTTCATCATTTTAGATTTTTGTATACAAGCCTCCAGAAAATAAATGAAAACTTTCCTTTCTTACAGTGTTTGTTAAGCTCCAAGAACCTCAGACCCCCTTTTAACTCATCAGGTCATGTTTTTTTCCTTCTAGGACTATAATGATGAAATTCGTCAGGAACAACTACGTGAATTATCTTTCTTAAATGGCTCAGAAGACTCTGGTCGTGGCAGAGGTATTAGAGGCAGAGGGATCAGAATAGCCCCCACAACGCCTTCAAGGTACATTGGTTTTTACTTTAAGTACATTAAGAGCCAGTGAGGATGACAATCTTTTGCTGCCTTACTCTGTGGCATGATCACAGCAAGAAACAAGCAACAACAACATCAGCAACAGTACCCACCACCTCTACAGAAACAGTAATGATGGATGTTTAGATAGCACAAAATAACTTTCATAAATTAACTCACCAAATCCTCCAGACTAAGGTTAACTATAATTTAGACTAAGGTTACTATTAAAAATTGAGATACAGAAAGATGTAGGAAATTTCCCCAAGGTCACACAGATAGTTTGACTCCAGAATTCAGGGTTTGAGCTCTTACCAACTCTCCTCAGAAAATGTGAAGAGCAAACCTGAGCTTTTCTACTTTTTGTTTCTTCCCCAGCGTTAAGACATGCAGAGGACACAACCACATCGTTCTGAACCAGGATAAACTTGTGTAAAGAGAAAGTTACAAATTTTGTCTGTGCCTTAAGTGGCCCTTGAATTGACATAGTCCTGCCAGGTATGTGTAGAGATAGGTGATGATAGGTAATAGATAGATGCTACATAGATAGATGATAGATAGATAGATGATAGATAGATAGATAGATAGATAGATAGATAGATAGATAGATAGATGATAGATAGATGATAGATAGATAGACAGATAGATGATAGATAGATAGATAGAAAGATAGATTATAGATATTTAGATATATAGGTGGATACTATATATAACACCAGAACAGAAAGCCAGAAGCATACTTCTTGCATGGCAAATGGTAACAGTAGTTAAAGTTTAGTTACATTTGACTTTGCAATGTCTTTAGTCATCAGAGAGGATTTGTTTTGTAGGATTCAGAATTTGTCAAGCTTTCAACAGAAAGCATTGGTTTGCAAAGAAGTAAAGTAAAAAATACTCATAGCCTTCACACAGAGACATGTAATTCTGTCATTCTCTCACCCTGTTACAGTTGGCCTTCAAATCTCTGAAAGACATAGATCTAGAATATTATTTCATCTATTGCATAGAAATTATCTTGAGATTTTAAGGGACTTTGCTGATTCAATTTATTTGTTAAAATACGTTCAACCAGCACTGTCAAAAGACCACTATTTTATTATTTAAATCGTAGACACCCCAAACAGTTTTGTAGCTACCAGAAAAAAAAAAAAAAGTTAAGAGTAATAAATTTCCAAATAAAACACAAAGGTAATAACCATCTAAACATAAAATGTGGCAACTTTTGAAATTATATTTGACTCTTCTGAAAATGTTCTAGAGTTTATATTTACATTTTTATCTTTAAACAATTAAAACCGAGCTCTAATGCTATCCAGAAACCTCTGTCTATTGCTAAGAATGAGACAGCTTTTTTATGGACATACGTTTTATGGAATTAGCCTCTTAAAAAACAATGTGTGGCACTGAGCTCATCCTGATGGGCTGTGAAATGGCACAGTGGGTATCTGACAATGATTAAGTTGTAGTTTTAAATCAAGAATTTGTTGCTCCCATAGTTCAAAAAAGTGACAGTTTATGTTTACAGAGGAGACTGTTTTCCTGTTTTATATTCCTTGAAACCATTAAAAATAATAATAAAACAATACATTAACCTGCTTTTGAGATAAAAAAAATCATTGTATTCATAGATTTTATTTTGTTATTGATGTTGCATAATATAATGTTACATTTGTTATATTTGAGTGAACTATATGCGACTTTTATTTCAGTAAAATTTTGTACTAAAAATTTAACCTCTTTAATGAATAGTGTATTGTGGTCTAGATTTTTAATTACCTTAAAAGAAAAATTTGACTGAAAGTTTTATCTTTTAATACCCCATATATCTTACAAATCTGATACTGCATATCTAAAAAGAAAAGAAAATTAATGTTGAAATTAAACCTCACTTTTAATGCTGTATTGATATTATTGATTTGTTAGCATTAATAAAATAAATGGAGAGATCTGTTTTCTGTTTCAAACCACATGATCAAATGTATCTATAAATAAGAAGAAATAAGGAAATAGCTTATCAAAACACAAAATTGTATTGATCATAAAGCCCTTGAAAACATAGTTAATATTAATGGTAATTTGTACATGTTTATGAAATCGTGACTTCATTAAGTTATTTAGTTAAATGTATTAAAAAAGAATGGTACCTGGAATATTTTTTATTTTATTTTTTTTCTTTATTGATTTTAGAGAGAAAGGAAGAGAGAGGGAGAGAAAGGTAGAAACATCGATGAGAGAGAACATCGACTGGCCGCCTCCTGCATGCCCCCCTCTGGGGACTTGGCCCACAACCTGGACATGTGCCCTGACCAGGAATCAAACCAGTGACCTCTCGGTTTAACCACTGAACCATACTGCTGGGTGGTACCTGGAATATTTTTAAACTATAATAATTTGTTGAAAATTTATTTAAATAAATGATTTTATGTTTCAACAAATACCTTTGAAAACTAATCCTCTGATAATACATACATACTAGAGAGCAAAGCATCACATATAATTTATATTACATAACTGAAGAATTAAGACATATGACATCACTCACCATGATATGCTGAGTGAGAGAAAACAGTGGAAAATGAAACATTACGGGCAGATTTTGTTTCCTCTAATGAGAAGTAATACATAGAACTAATGGAGTCTATTAGAGAGGGAAATGATTGTATTTGTTGCCAAGAAAGACTACTCAGTCATCACTATGTGTGAGAGAACAGAGACAGAGACGGAGAGACACTGACTCATGGCAGGGAAGCCAGTGAAAAGACAAGTCCATTATCCAAAAGAGGAATGAACACCACTTGGAGTGTAGAGATAGAGGACTAGATTAGAGATTAGAATTTATAGGAATTAGTGCCTAATTCAATGTTGGAGAAGATAGAGGGCCTAAGTCAAGGATTACTTTATGATGTCTAACCTGGTTAGAGATTATTATATCATCAACTAAAATTAGGTGTGACAAGCAAGTTAAATAAAGACTATAATTATTCCTATAATGAATCCCAGCTCTTTGGATGTGCTAGTGTGACCTTTGGCAGGTGACTTGCACTTTCTGTGCCGTGGTTCTCAACCTTTAAAATAGCTTAGAAACAGCTACATGACAAGCTTGTCAAGATTTTCAAATTAGCTGGTGCAGATAAGGCAGGGATTTCCAAAAGGTCTGCATGTTGAAATTACCAGGGGCTCCCTGCTTCTAGATAGTGTGGTTTAATTGGCCTGGGGTATGGTGTGAAATTCGGAATGTTTCAAAGGTCTTCGGGTAACTGTGATGTGCAGACAAGTGAAGGACCCTCTGATGCAAGTAAGGCTCACAGTCTAGGAAATGGCATGTGTTAGGAGGGACACAGATAATAGCCATCATTAGATTTAGGGACTGCAGGGCGCACCACAAAGAAAGAGGATCAAGGACTGAAAATGGGGATGGCCACATTCTGAGGCGGGCCCAGGAATAGAGAAGCCAGTGAAGGAAGTTGAAGAGTAAGAATAAAAAGGGAGCAAATGTGAAGAAAAGGAGAGTCATAAACTCTAAAGAAGGCATTTTCCAGCTGGAGGGCCACAGGGATAAGGACCAGGGGGAGGTGCGGTGGAAGGAGGACGGTGAACAAATCCAGTGGATTTTGAATTCAGCAGCTACTGGTGAGCTCAGTCAAGAGTATTTGCAACAAAGTGGCAAAAGCAATACCTAGGTGACAGTTTTTTTAATTCTATTTTTCAATTGCAGTTTACATTTAATATTGTTTTGTATTAGTTTCCGTTGTATAGCATTGGCGGTTAGACAATCATATACTTTACAAAGTGCCCCCCTCCCCATATTTCCAGTACCACCCGGCACCACACATTGTTATTACAATGTTATTGATTATATTTGAGATGTTGTAACTGCCAATTTGTACTTCTTAGTCCCTTTGCTTTATTTTTATTCTAGAATGAGGAGTTGATCTCACTTATTTGTGGACTATAATGAATGCAATAATAAGCTGATGAACAAAGCAGATTGAGAGACATGGAAGTTGGGAACAGACTGACAAACCTCAGAGGGAAAGGGGTTGAGGGTAGGAAGAGAAAAACCAAAGAACTTAAATGCATATATGCACAACCAATGGACACAGACAACAGTGTGGTTGGTGAAGACAGACGGTGACAGGTGCAGAGAAGAGAGGGTGTCAATGGGGGGAAAAAGGGAGAAATCTGTAATACAGTAATAAAGATTTTTAAAAGAACAAGATTTTGAATAATTAAAGAGGAAAAAATTTCAAGAAGTCAATAAAATGAAGGAGAGAATGCTCTAGTGTGGATGCTGCCAAGGACCATCTCCTAAAATGAGTGATGTGAATCTTGAGTCGAATTGGAGAAGAGCGATACAGGGTTAATATTTCAGGGAAAAACATAACGAGTCAGATTCAGGAGACAGGTTTGCTAGGGCTGTGTCTTGGAGACAGCTGATGAAGGAATGGGAATTGAAATTAGATTTGATGCAAGGATCATAACATTTTAAAACAGGAAGAATTGTTTCAGATTCAGAATCTGATTTGACACATCAGGGAAAAAACATCCACCTTAGGCCCAGTGAGTTCTACTGTTTACCTGTGATACTTCAGTGGCATACCCAGGACTTGTGAACGTAGTTTAAAGTAGGTGACATATAACTTACTGGCCACACTGTTAAGAGTGTTCAAATGCTAAACTGAACAGCAAGCTTGGACAATGGTTGTAAATCAGAACTATTCTGGGCAACCCTGGAAATATGCTCGCACTGCTTATGAGGAAACAGATAGGTTCTTGGCCCAGGGAAGGTAATGTTGGTTTTACATCGTTTTTTTTTTTTTTTATAGATGTGTTTTTATATTACCATGATAATGTAGAATATGGTATTATATTGTCATGATAATGTAGAATACTGCCTCCTCAGCTATGTTGTGCTTGAAGCAGGCACCTGGCCTTCTGGGTCTTTTGTATTTTGCTTCCCCCAGTCTAGGAGAGCATTATCTATACATTAGACTCACAATAAGTTCTCTGATAATTTCTCTATTCCTCAACTCTGTAATCTATTTAAAACTTTTAAAAGCTTTTCCAGCATTCTTACTGTTCACTGGTAAGAGCTCATTTTCTGCAAGCAGGAAAGAGCCAGCTGACTGCTATTCATAGCAGAAAGCATAACCTACATTCCCCATCATGGGAGCAGCCTCACCGTGCGATTGTTGACATCCCAATGATCATTATTTTTTCCCAAAGCTTTCGTGTTCCTGCTGAAAGCAGTGCTTTCTGGAGGCCAGCCTTTCAGACATAATAAAAAAGTGAAATAACCACGCGTCTGCCCAAAGACTTCAGACAAACACTCCACCTTTCCAGGGGTCTCGGAATATCATAAAAATTGGCTGCATCCATTTGATCTAGGGCTTTTAGTACAAGTTACTTTTGTGTCAAGCACTGTAGTACAGAGTATTCAGTCTTTTTTTTTTTTTTATTGCAGAGTCCTAATGTATTTCACTAGCACCATAGTTACCGAAGGAAAATAAATTATATCAGGGACTCGACCGGTTCAGGGGATTACACACGTGATAATAAATCTGTGACAATGAGTTGTGATTTCAAGTGACCTCAAGCTTGAGCTACTGTAATAAACAGAATGATATCACCAGGGTCAGAGTTTCACCTTTTATTAAGTATTAAAATGCAGACAGATTGTCTTTTGTAAATGACAACAGTGCACATCACTGTCCAAAGGCTCTGGCATGGAGGAGACACAGACCTTTAGCAGCTCAGGTTCACAGATGGTCCCGTGAGTCATGTGTTAGACAATGCTCTCATTTGGGTCTTTTTGGTAAGTTTGGAATAAAGTGAGAATGTGTTGGTGTTTTTTTGTTTGTTTGTTTGGTTGGTTGGTTTTGTTTGCTTTTTTTAGTTTCAGAAAATAAAATATCAAAGTATTTTGCATAGTTTTCATAACTAAGTCGTAACCAATATTTATAAACTTTATTCTACTGTGGAGGTCAAAGTACTTTACATTCTAAAGGGTCTCAATTAAACACACTCACACACGTGTGTGCACATGTATGCAGAGATAAATTTGGTTTCTTCCCATTGTACAGAGGCTGTAAAATGAGACCTTTATCTGTTTTAGTCCCTTCCTCTCATCACTTTGTTCTTATCTGTGCATATCCTGTTTTTCTTAGGGGTCGTGGGGGTGCCATTCCTCCTCCCCCACCACCTGGACGAGGTGTTCTCACCCCTCGAGGGACCACTGTGACCCGTGGAGCTCTTCCAGTGCCCCCTGTAGCAAGAGGTGTCCCTACCCCACGAGCCCGGGGGACACCAACAGTGCCAGGGTACAGGGCACCCCCTCCTCCAACCCACGAGGCTTATGAAGAATATGTAAGTACCCTCCACAAATCGGTTGTTAGAAAGATTTAAACTAACTGAGTAACAGGCTAAGCCTCAAAGCCATTTATATACCACGCATATAGCACATGATGTTTGTTGCAAAAAATGAATGTCATTTGCCGCAGAATTTAAACAGTGCATTTAAATGATGGCATTTTCAGAAAGGCTTCATCTTACAGGTGCCAAGATAGTTGTTAGTAACAGTTAAATAGCTTGCATGTGAAGAATCAAATTGTCCTGAGGTTCTCTTATCTTTAGAAGATTTGATCAATTTCAAAGTGGAAATAATTGCGAACATAATGTGAATCTGTCATGTGTTCAGAAGCTTCTCCTGGGATATGATAAAGGTTAGCATGAAACTCACTCAGAAATAGTTAACAAGTATAATGTGATTATATTATAAACTTTGGTAATTATGTCTAACCATGTGACTGGTTTTTCATTTAAATATTCTTACTCTCTCTCTAACTATATGAAAGATAGGAGATTGCCAGATATGAAGAATTCAAACATTGTAGAAAGAACAGAAGAAATGCAATGTCTGTAACCATCCCCCTCCCTTTCTATCCACTGTATCACTTAATATACCCTTTGACCTTTCATTATGTTGTTAGTATTCCTCAGGTCACATTGTATTCTAGTCCCTGTATCCACTCCCACTACCTGACTGTGTGAAAGTTTAAAAAGGAACAGTTTCCTATTCACTCATGTGACCATAGTAAGTCCACTAAAAATGTTAAATTGAATGGATGCCAGCCAGATCATCATCCTGTGAAACAAATTCACTCTGCCATCGACCTCTCCAGCATTCTCATCTCCTAATCTAGGTGTTTGTTTCATTCAGCCACCTGGCTGACGTTCTTAAATGTCCTCGTGGATGATTACTTATTAATATAAACTCTTCCAGGACACTTACTGTCACTCAAAACATACATTTTTAAAAAATTTTTTTATGGACTGGTTAATAACCAAGTAAAACTTAACCCTACAATAAAGTGAACGTAATTGATAGGTATCACTAAGAATATATTAATGCTTAGAGTATGTTAGTTATTGGGAATAATGTTACTGCTTAAATAGGAAATGTTGACTAACATCTGCAAGAGTAAAGAAAAATTATTGTTAGAAATCCATGTCTACCAGAAAAGAGGAAACGTGTTCATCTAAAATATCTTCTCAATATTTAAAATGTTAAGCAATCTGGAAATTTTGAAATCAGAAGCAGAAAGCATCTTCTACCCTGTAGAATAAGCCCACAGGCCAGGAAACACAGAGCCTACTTCTGGTTCTGCCATCCCTTCCTTGAGACATAGTCTGTATGAAATAAATACCTGTTGAATGAATGAATGAAACAGGAAGGACGGGATCATTTTTAATCTCTGAGGAAACTTTCTAGCTCTACCATCTCTATGCCACTACGGTACATTTTTATCATCCAAATAGAGGCTTCAACAGTTAGATCTTTATTTCAAAAATTAAAAGGGAAAAGCTGTTCAGGTCATAGAGGTCAACACTGTGATTAATCAGATAATGTACAGGGCATATATAGGGCACCAGGAAAGAGAACAAGAGCGGCAAAGCACTGTCGCCTTCCACATGCATTCCAACTTACAGAGAAGAAATCCCTGGAACACAAAGCAAGTGAGAATAACCTGCAAAAGCATAAAGAGTTTGTAGAAATATGGAGGGAAAAAAATGTATATTATGAAAGGAGAAAGCTGGGAGGAAGGTGGTTTTTAAAGTAAGACAAAGAAATTACGTAAAGTCATGTCATCTGAATTTTTTAAACTTAGATTTTAAAGTATCTAATTCCTTTTATTCTTTCATTCGGTCATTTCAAAGCCTCTATTTGCTCTGAAGGTCCTGAAGACGGAGTCGTGAACAAAGACCAAATACCTGCTTTCATAAAGCTTACATTTTAGTGGAAGGAGAAAGAAAGAAAATATAGCCCTGGCTGGTTTGGCTCAGGGGTTGGAGCATCAGCCTGTGGACCAGAGAGTCTTGGGTTCGGTTCCTGCTAGGGGCACGTACCAAAAAAAAAAAGCAAACATATATTAAAAATGAATAAAGTAATGCCAGGTGGAGGAAAGGGCCCTGGAGAGAGGCTGGAGGTGGGCAGGTAGGGAAGTCCTGTCTGAAGTGGAGACTTCGGCAAATGCTTAAATAAAGTGAGGGTCTAGGCCAAGGGCCTGCCCTTCTAAAGAGCACCCCTGGTAAAGAAAACAGCAAACATAAGTGCCCTGAAGTAGAACCTACTTGAAATATCTGGGGATCAGCAAGGAGAGCATTAAAGCTGGAGCAGATGTATGAGGGGGGAAATAGACAAGGTCAAAGGCTGGACAGGCCAATTTGTGTTGCTTTTGGAAAGTGTTGGACAAGAATGTGACATGATCAGCTTTATGTTTTGAAAGGTTTATTCTGCCTGCATCGTGGAGAACAGAAATAATATGGGGTGGGGATGGGCACAAGAGTAGAAACAGAGACTGGTGAGCAACTCATTGCACAGTCTCCTACTGACCACAGAATGGCCTCGGAGGATGAGCTGAGATTCTGGGTGCACTGTGTAAATGATCTGATGGGATCTGATGATGCAGTACATGTAGGACATGTGAACAAAGAATGGGGTAAGGATAATGTTTGTGAAGTTTTGGGGAAGTGATGGTTAAACTGAATGTTGGACTGCACAACAGGGTTCAGTTGGGGTGTCATTTATTGAAATGAGGAATACCACGAGGGAATTGGAAAGTTTAGTTTGAGATTCTGATGGTGTTGGCTTTCAGGAAATGCTGTTGTGTTGCTGAAGGAACAGGACTTGACTTTGGAAACCGACAGCAGCATCCTGATTTGCATTCCAGCTATGCCAGTCACTGTGTAATTAACTTATAAACACTGTGAGGCTTGGATTTCCCTTCTATGGAATGGGGCTAATAATTTCAGCCTCACAGGACTGCACTGATAGTAGAAATAATATAACATGTATATAATATACATGGAATAATATTAGCCATAGCACTTATAAATGTGCACACATACCTAGAACATTATAGACATTCAATAAAAGGTAACTATTACATAAAAATCTCATCATGTAAAATATTATTTAATTTCTGCCTAAAATACGCTGTGGACACATTAAAGTCACATTTACCTATTTTTGTGAATTAATTAGTCATCACTGATTGCAAATAGCAGAAGCAATTCTATCTTCTTTTAGTAATACCCAAATAAGACAACAAGTCAACAAACACTCCTGTGGCGGTTGTTGCATGAGCAAGCTCAAGCATGAAGTTCCATAACAGGATTGCCATGAGGCCTTAAGAAAGGCCTGGGCAGAGGAACTGGAAAACTATCAAGAATCACTACCCCCGTTTCATCTCTGTGTTTTCTACGTATATCTTTCCATTCCCTTTTAATCTACAGACTGGGTGTTCGGGCTTCTCCGATCAACCAGGTTCAGCACATGGTGAGATATGTCCACCCTAGGACTGCCACGTTTACGTGTCCAGTTCTCGTCACCTGCAGATACTGACTGTCTGGCTGTCTCCCAGATTTCACCTAGATCCCCAGGTGGAAGACTTCTCTTCACTCAGGCCTGTCGGGTGTCACACACCAGTGAGTCAGCTGTGACAACAGGGCGAGGGTTTATGGAAACTGTCTGGGATCTACCCCTCATCAACCACCAGTGAAGGGGGCGAGAGAAGCTCACAAAACAGAAGCATGGTTTTTGGGGACCTAACAAGGCTAACACTGGGAAGATGCTAGTTTCCAGAGGAGAAAACAGTATAGATTTGACAGACATCTCAAAATAAATCTAGGATAACATACTGTGGACAACAGAAAAAAGTAGACAACTATTTTATAAAAACACTTTTTTTTCCATATTTTTAAAACCTGTTATAAGTTATATTTTAATTTCTTTTCTGTAAACCAGGAAAAGAGTATGTACAAAATTGAATACATGGCTGCTAAGCTGTTCACAGCAATCCTGGAAGTCTCAGAACCAAGCCCTGATTAACACTCAAGAGCTGCTCTGTTCTAATTTTAAACTATCGATTTCTCTGTAAGGGGTAAGAAAAACAAAGTTTAAGTGTCTTGGTAACAAAATAATAGAACCATGCTGAGATGGTGGTGAAAATCTCTAGGAGTTCTTAACTTTTCAGATATAATTTCTTAGAAAAAGGTTCCCTTTATTATAAATGACACTACAAGCCAATTCCCTCTTCGGACTTGGCTCTCTCCCCCGCTGAGTCTCGGCATTAAGTTTCTGACCACATAGAACGTATGTAGGAGATGGAGTACACTCGCAGCTTGTCTGACAAGAAGCAGCTTACTGTAAATGACATTGCCATTTAAAACCCTCATCAGTGTTCGCTTGAGTCTTTAAAAAAATGTGAATTTTAGTGTGGTATACATTCTAATTCAGACTTTAAAGATTTTAAAGCTTCTTTTCATTGACGTTGTGCTAAGAAGAATATATTTACATTGTACAGATCCATCATCATGATTGAAGTAGATTTAGGGAATTGAAAAGTACATTTCACACAACAAAATCTGACGCCGGTTAGCTCTACAATGGATTACATGTTCAAAGAGAGTCAACTGAAACTTCAACTTTTGAATACCTACAAGGTTCTGAGCACCAGACAGTAATTCACTTGGTTTCATGATAACATGAACTATCTTAGTCGATGAGAAAACTGAAGCTTGGAATGGAGACATGCACCCTTGTTCTGTTTCCAGAGCTTCTGTGTCTGTCTCATTGAAGTAGTCTACACAGTATCCGTCTCACAGAAAACTGACACAAACACAGGTCACTGGTACTCTGCACCTTCTATCTGGGCCACAGGTCAGTGTTTGAAAACCCTATAGATATTTAGTGACATGTAGGACTTCTCCCAGCTCCTACATGAACACCTCCAGCGGTGGAGAACTCAACACCTCCAGAAACTCAGTGCTAGAAATATAAAAACTGTGGTTAAAGACACCCCATC